GGAAACCCCGACGTTATTACTGGACACAAAATCATGTATATTTCTGAATTCCACTTATCGAATACCCATCTCAGAACTGAAAGATTATTACGAATTGTCAATGCAACTTGATCATTTTATCGACGTCAATAAAGCCACCTCTCTGGAGAATCAAAGATTGGAACAAAACTTCCCGTAAAAATTTTATGTATATATATATAAAATAAATGAACAGATAACCGGAACATTTAAGAAGCAAACTGGAAGCGGGAAGCAGTCGGCATCTGGTGGCATCTGTTGGCGACAAGAGGAAAAAGAGCAACACCCGCTGCGAACTTCGCTTTTTGCACAACAGACGGCACACGTTGTCGCGCTATTTTCATTCGTCGCTTTTCCTGGCGCTTCTTATAAACGACCAATGTTGCTTTCCCGTATTGTGACTCCTATTTCGCAGTGTTTCGATATGCGTTAGTTGCTTATTTACATATTGAAAGCCATTGCTTTTTTCTTTTCTTTTCTTTTTTAACTTCGAATCTCTTTACGCGAGCGATTCGGTAGCACACCCCGCTAGTTAACGCTCGTCTTTCTCAGTAAAGAAAAGCGTCATAATTTTGTCTACTTTCAATTCCTGCCATAGAATAACTTTTATGCTGACTGAATTTAATATTCTTATTACCGACTATCCACTCTCAAAAGTACAAAGCACACTGCTGGTTAAATAACACAAATAATGTTCATTGGCATACTGTTTGTCTTGGTGCAGTAAGTTAGAACGTCTTGTTCGAAAAAAAAAAACAAAAATACACGGACTCTTAGCGGGAAAAACAAATTCGTTATTTAAAATTCCAAAAGTTCGCAGTGTATGCCTTACGCAACTTTGATACTATTTAAAATAATATAAAACTTGAAAACATAAGCGACTTTGATTTACTTTAAGAAGCTATGAAAAGCGTAAAAACATGATAATCCCCCACCTACGGTAATGCAGGTACTTAAAGATTCTGTAGTGATCAATAACCTCAGAAACCCAGGGTCGGGTTTATTGGGTTCACGCTCCTTGTGTCGTGATTTGTTTTCCCGTGTTGTTATCGGCTAACCACGAAATTTCGTTGGCTTCGGAGTGATATATGAGAGTCTGCCAAAAAGCCCCACCTTCGTGACCGTAGACTTTAGGAATTCTGCGGTACTAGAATCTAGAACCATCATGAGTCATAAATTCACATAATTTTAACAGTTCCTTAAAACACCGTATGTTGTTGTTGTTTTAATAGCGTATGTCTGTCATTTGCTTATCACATAATAATTTGTGTGACTGTAATATATTGTGATTGCATTAATTTATTTCATGCGTGCCGCTTTTGCGGGTTTTGTTTTTTACGTTACCTGACTATTTGTTTAACCCGTCATTCTGATCGTTTCCTTTAAATGTATCTTGAGTATTTTCAACATCGCTGCCTGTCATCGTAATACCTTATTAAATTGCGTCCCAACTAGCCAAATTGGCTACGGGCCCAGGTTGTCTTTCAGGAGCTAGTCTTATGCATTGAATTCAATAAAAAGCATTCATTAACTTATAGAGTAAAACAATAACAGGCACAACGCCAATGCATTGAAGCTACTCTAAGCATGCGTACAGCTAACTTTACAAGTAACACGCTTGCTTGAAACGCATCGCGGTGTCCACGTATTACTGTACTTGATGTACGTATTCAAAGCCTAGTAACTACTTCTTTTTTTAAAGTTATGGTGTCTTGAGTTTTTCTTAGACCATAATTACTGACAGCGTATTGACTGATTGAATGAATAAATGGTCGGTCGATTGATTGATTGGTTTTCGGCCTACGACGTCACAACTGCGTACTGCTGCTGTCCAGTGCGATCCGGCGATGGGGTAGAGCAGCGGAGATGTGTAAGGTAGACGCCTGTTCTTCTGTAGCTCTCTCTCTCACTCTCCCTTTCTCTCTGTCTCCAGCAGACCCGAGTTTTTACTCCGAGACGGCAGCAAACGCTCGTGTTCGCTTTCCTTCTTCGCCGATGCCTGTACGGTCAACCTCCAGGATAGCTGCAGTGCGTGGCGTTACACGGTGACTGTGGAATATATTGTTGCCATTTTCTTGGGGGGGGGGGGGGGGGGGGGAGGGGGGACGGGGGGGGGGGGACACCCCTTACGCTCGTGGGCTGTGACGACGCATTTACGATTTCTCCTTCATGATTCGTATTAATGGCCTTCTCGTCTGTTATATACGCTTTGCAATCTCAATGGCTTCGACGCGATAATAATACACCCACAATGTACTATTATAATGTGTGTCTATATAGTCGGTGACTTTGTAGAAACACATTGTGGTGACAGACAGAGAGAGAACGGCAGAGGACGTGTTTCGAACGCCAGGCCTCCAGCACGCGCGCTTTATGTCTTCCCATAGCCTCCTCTGTACTCACAAAGCCTGGCAGTTCGACGACAGAGCCATAGAGTGCCCGGGCGTAGATTTGGAGCGCGAGGATTTGATAGCACAGAGGATCAAAGAGCCACTTCTCGGGGAACCTGGACGTCAGCGCACAGCGTTTGCAGCGGCGAGGACCCGAAACACACTTTTTTGAGCGGGAGAGGCGTGTTTCGGCGTCTCGCCGCAGCGGGGCGCCAGTCACGTGGCTCTCCTCACATCCGTTGTCTGCCGCTCAACCTTTTTCATATCGGCGGCCGCTTCTCGTGACGAACTGCCAGGTTTTGCCAGTATATAGGAGGCTATGGTCTAGCGGTGCGCTTTCGCTGCGCGCACGCGCTCGAGGAGAACGACACGCCGAAATGTTGTCGAATACAGGAAGCTCGTGCTATAGAGGCGGGAGATATCAAACTCCTCCCTGCCCTTTTCACTCTCCCAGTGACTATCATCCTCATCATCATAATATTAAAGCCTTTTCTTGTGCCAATAAACGACCAATTAGCTGAAAAACGTGCTCAGCTATACTTTTTTTATAAATGCTTATAACTATAAAACTAGCATGCATAAAAAAAAACACTACAGTGCATAGGAAAAGACGGAAAACAATCTCGTCTAGTTTTTATGAAGACTTACGTAGCTATCAAAGACATCAAAATTTTCATGCCCAAGCTTGTTTACACATATCTGCATTCTTGTAGTTGGCGATATCATGTGTTGATTGTGGAAATAAAAAGTAAGAGCCCTCCTAGCTGAACGAGCAGGTAAGTTCAAATTCACTGCGCATAAAAGTGTTGAGTCGATGCCCCCTTCGACTATATATGTAAAAAGGCAACATCGCGCGATGGTGCCTTTTTCTGTCTGGAAAGCGTCTTCGATCGAAAACGCTTTCTAGACATGCGCCCGTCACCGGTATTCGCAGACCATTACGTCGTTTCGCTGACTAGCAGAAGACTTAACATAAAAGATCAACCAAACGACAGCCATTATTCGAATAAAGCATGTAATAGATTTTGACTATCTTGCCAAAGTACAGTCGTCAAAGATTTGATGTTTGTACCGCCGGATTGTTTACGAAAGTGTAGCTGATGCCAAATCTCTGAAAAAGCCCCGTGCTTAAGAGGCTTTTTTTTATTTTTATGTGGTCTCACGTTGTTCAGAGCGAAGTTCAACTTCCTAGGGTTCTGAGCTCATCAAGTTTGCGGTGGTTAGCGGAGTTTCTAATTAGGCATCACTGCCTCCGTCTGGTCAATGTTTTCAAGCATTGCGAGTCTTCGTGGCGGCGTCTACTCCTTTGAAAAACACCGTCTTGCTCGATAGTTAAATGGCTTCCCGTCCCTTTGTGGGGTGTAAAATCATGTCAAGGTGAAGGTTGAATGGCTTTGCTTCAATTAAAACTAGAGTGCACGAATAATCCTGAAGCGGCGGCATTGAAAAGCGCCTTATATTGTATACGTAGAGGCAGCACATGAGCTTGCAATGTTTACTAAAACACCAATAGAATATTTGATTAGCAGCCCTTGTCAATGCCTCCTAGATATATAGTGGCGAATTATTGGCTTCTTTTGCTTCATAAACTTGAAAACTGAGAGACATTGTTAAAAAAAAATAGATAATACTATTTACAAGGCTTTGATGAATGTTTCTGTTTAAATAAAAGCGTTAGAAATTCTTACCTTGGTAAACGATAGCCAAAGAGAGGGGTACAAACGCCTGCAATAATGCACCATGTGTATTCACCGGTGAATTTAAAGGTGCACTTTAAAAAAGAGTCTACGAGTTCGCGTTCCTGCAGATCACCAAGAGAGCCAATCTAGGCCGACGACAGACCCGTTCCAGCAAATGACGCCGCTTAGAGTATGATTAGACAATAAATTAGGTGCATGATTTAAGACAACCTTGAGACAGGGAAAACAAGAAGTACAAACACGACGAAGTCTTGAAACACAGCTGTGTTTTGAGACTTCGTCGTGTTTATCCTTCATGTTTTCCATGTGTCAGGGTTGTCTTATATCATGAACGTAAACCAGCTCGCCTGCGCCTTATCACTCATTTCAGAAATTAAGTGCGATGCGCAAGGACTTTTTATAACGTTCCATTTGCGAAAAGTGAGCTCACAAACATCCGTTAGTGTGTAGGCTTTAAAGGTCAAAATCCAGCAGTATGCCACATTTCAGGCGTCGTGTGATAATCAGCCAATCAATCCTCCTGCCTCGCCAAATCTAAGCGGTTTATATAAGCAAGGCGCCTGATCGGCAAATACTCGAAATTTATTTCAAGGCGCCATGTCCGATTAGGGTGAGCTTTAGTACGCTTTCTTGGCTCTGTAAACATTGCCATCTAAGAAACTAAGCTTTTTAGTCATCTTTGCTTGTTGAGTAAAACGATATAAGCGTTTTAGTAAAATATAATAATAATAATCATAATAGTGTTTAATTTGCGTCAAAAAGTATGACGGAAGAAGACTGAGGAAAAAAGAGAGAGAGAGAGGAAGAGCTTAAGCATTTATTGGAAAGAAAGCAGCGAGGTCAGTCAGCGGTTCGGAGGGAAAAAAAGGCTACGTCATGCAACTTGCAAACATTTTTTTTTTTTTTTTTTTTTTTACATTTTTATATTTAGATTTTGCTTCTCGGGACTCCGAACGATCCCCACCGGCCCCTTAGCCAAGAAGTTTGGAGACCCTTGCTCTAAATCGTTAACGTCTAGCTAAGCTACTGCAGATGACCCGGAAATTTCTAAACTAAGTTACAACATAGGATACAGTAACATTTATGATGCCCCCATAATAAAGAGGTGTCTTTCTTCTAATTAACGCACAGTCTCTGCCCGAATGGCCAATTTATATAATGTTAAACCGCGGCTGAACTTACCTCGTTTGAAAGGCTCCTGAGTCAAAGCGTGGTCAAACCCATGACAACGCTGAAAATATAATACTTTATTATTCGTACATAAATTATTATCGTACACAGAATAAAGTGCGCTCAAAAGTGCGCATCAACGTAACTTCTATTACAAAAAAAAAAGAAGAACATTCGAAACAAGATTACGTCATGACAGCAGACTATGGTAGTTCTTAAGAAAAAAGAAAACATACAATCACACGCATACATAATTTTTAGAAGCTAAAAACGAAATAAGAAGCAGCCAGCATTTCATAAATAAGTACACACAAATCATCTAAAAAAAAGTAAAAGAAAGATTCACGATAGGAAATATGCAGGCCTTAAAAAGGCCATGGAAACCATTCCTTGTAAATTCCTTGCAAGTTTCGTACATATGGGTTTTGGTTCATGGCGAAACAAGGAGCGACAGGATGACTGAACACGAACACAAAACAAAAAGGTGAAGTGAAATGTTGGGGAGTGCGTTGCATGACCCACCGAAACGAGGTTATCTCTAGCGCAATACGACGACTCGAGAGCATTTATGTACAACATTGCTAACTTGCACCACCTACAGTACCGAGAATACCCTTCGACTTTTAAGAACCGACCAAATTGTTACCCCCCTCATCCCACCTTCTTCAATGTCCAGGGAAAAATAGACAACGTCAGGGGCCTAAACTGTGCTCGATGATTTACTCGGTGAGTTAGTGGACCTTGTGGATGTGCTGTAGGAATCGCTGCTGTTGGCACCGTCTCCGCTGACCCGAAGCGTCTGGCCCACGGTTCTCTGATCGAAAGAGGTAGTCTTGCTAGATGTCTTGCCACCGTCCGAGAAGCTTAAAGAACTGTCGGCAGTGTACTTGCTGTACGTCGGGGTGCCCTTTGTGCGGAAGTACGGAGCTGCGGCATCCTTCGAGTACCCCGAGGAACCTCCGCTTGAACTGTACGAGGACGAGTAAGCCGTGTCCGTGGTTGACGATGCCGGCTTTGTGGAAACGTACTTGACGTTACCGTTCGCGTACGCCTTGAGTGCTTGGGCCAAGGCGGCGGACGCGCTCTGAGAATTCTTGTAGGACGTTGTCGTGCTTGGGTAGTTGGTGGATGGGCGCTTGGCGGTGTACGCCGCGGACGTGGGTCCACCGTAGCCCGACGATGGAGGATAGCGGTCACCGAAGGATCCTTGCGAGTCGTAGCTGGCTGGAGAGTTGTCGTACGCTACCGAAGAAGATGCTCCCTGGCCAGATGATGAGCCATAGTTGCTGCCATACCCGCTTCCCGTGGACGTGTACTTAGTCGGCGACCCACTGGTGTAAGTCGTTGTGTAGCCAGAAGACGGTTGGCTGGAAGTGTAGCCTCGTGTGGGCGCCGTAAAACTGCCGGACGAACCGCTGTAGCCTGAGGAGGAGACGGGAACGGCGTAGGACGCCGGTGCCGTGATATACCCGGATGATTGTTGATTGGGGTAGTTTCCAGACGAGGATCCTCCGTAACTCGTTGTCCCCACCAGTGTGTAGGCTGGGCCGTATTTATTTGAGTTGGAACCCTGCGTTTGCATGGAAGGTTCGTAGCCTCCAGAGGAACCTCCTCCGTAACCGGAGGCAGCGGATCCGGCGTAGCCGTTAGCGGACGTCAGCGTGAAAGTGGTAGGGGAGCCGCCGTATCCGGAGCCGGCCTGAGATGCGTAGTAACCGATGTTAGGCGAGTGAGAAGGAGCCGTGATGTACCGCGTACCCGTCGTGCCACCGTTGTAGAGGCTGGCGGAGCTGCTTCCGTAGCTCGACCCGGAATTTGACTGCCCCTGATAGCCACTCGAATAACCGGAATACGGCTGATCCTGTTGGTGAGCCTTCTGAGAACCGCTGCCTTGAGACGAAGAGTACGAATCGGAAGAATGTCCGTAACCTTGACCATCGCTGCTACTATCAGACTGCTGGCCGTGTCCAGATGCCCCGACGGGAATCGAGACAGGACCATCACCGAAGTTGGTTAGGCTGACCGGAACGCCGAGTTGCGCCGTCATAATGCCGTTGTAGACGTTAGACCCGTCCGTCTTGTAGCCATAGCTTCCACTGGCAGCTGGCGTCAGCTGGACAACGGAATTAACTTGCTGCTGGTAACTGTCCTGCTCTCCGTTCTGGGAGCCGAAGGAACTGCCGCCTTGCTGCGGAAAGATGTGGATCCCGGAGAACGCGTTGGGTGAACGGTCACCGTCCGCTTGGCTCTCAGCGTATTCTGTAGCCTGAGCAATGTGAGAAGGCGCCTGTTGCAGTACCGCTCCGGCAGAAAACGGCAACCTCATGCCTCCGTGTAGAGGAATCGTATGGAACGTAGTGTGGGCGCCTGAAGCTTCAAGCTGGCCTAGGGGAATGTGCTGCGGAAACGAGTTTTGCTGGGGCCTCGCGAAAGAAAAGAAGCTAGGACGCGGAGAGCTCCCGGAGGTCTTGAGACCCGACAAGAAGGACGGTGTTCTGATCCCGAAGAAGGACTTTCCTGGAGGGCGACTGCCTCCTCCGCCGCCGCCTGAGAAGAAGGGCCTCCTGAAGAAGGAAGGCTTGGAGTTGGACTCGGCTGCGGTGAACGAGAGCATGCTGGGCTGCATGAACGGCTGCCCGAGGCTTCCGTCCATTGCTTGCTGGAGGTAGAAGTTCTGGGCCGCCGTCAGGCCGAAGAGAAGAGTGCAGATCACCTGCGGGAACAAACAAAAAAACAAAAAACTGTTGAAATATTTGGGATTTGAAGCGCAGAAAATACAATTGAAGAAGGCTGAGTAACCCGACTCCCGCTCGTTTACACTTGCTAGCTTGGGTCGTCAAGTGGCTATTTATTTGTTCGAGGGGGAAAGAAGACCTAATGAGTCTTATACATAAGACGCACTTTTTGCTTGTGTTTTTTGAATCCTATAGAGACTAACATGCGGCTCTGACGTCACGCCGATACGGTAACGCTTCTGTCCGCACGGCGCATGCGCGGACGCTTCTCCCCACACAAACCCCGGTTTCTGCGCACCTAGACTTAGGCTAGGTGGCGCAGGCTACCGACCATGACAGAGGGTATAGCTATTAGCATCCATCCTGCATCCATCGAACGTCCATCCGTCACTGTTCACACCTAGTCTGGGCAAACGCGGGCTTGTGTATAAACAGCGCGTCGACTTACAGGCGCTTTGCACACGCGCCAAATTCCAGCTGCCGCTGCTGACGTCCCCTTGCCTTACCGAGGTATCGAGCTACTGAATAGGGCGATAACGAGGCTCCGCAAAGGTCTATGCCGAGGGCGTTGACGCAGTAAAATCTAATATGGTAATAACCCGTCCTGCTGTGGTAACGATGAAGTGAAGTGAACTGAATAAGAAGAAAACAAAAACATTTCTTTTCACTTTAAGTCCGAGCGTGCTGAAAACCGACAAACAAGCTAATACACGCGGACTAAAAGCGTAAAGTCAAGGCGCACTCTCTGCGTGTGATTAGATAAGCCGGCGGATGAGCACATACAGGGAAGACGGCGACCGCCGTGACGCCCCACTTTCGGCACTGCTCAATTCACCCCTCGGCGCATCCCGTTGGCCGCACTTGGATTTAAGATGGATCGAAGTACAGTCAACACTTTATAGATGACGTAACAACTCCACACACTACCGGGATGTCGAGCAATACTGTCCGAGACGCATCGCACTGTGCGTGGGCACGAGTGTTCCGTCGGCGCTCAGCCTTGTGAACAGTGGTCCGTCTATACGCGTCCGAATGAGGGGAACCACATACTGAAGCCTTGTGGTAGGCAGCGACCGCACGGGTCTTGAGTTATCTAGGTGGAGTTTGTTACCTGTCATTTCTACCGACACGTAAAGCGAACACTCTGATCAAGAGCGTGCGGACTGAATGAACAGTAGTGCTATACGATAGCATTCAATGAAATGCTTCTTCGGATCTGCATACTACACGTGCTTGTGGAATAGAGGCAGCATGATACGAGCACCTACAGAGTTCATACGACGTGAGGGCAGTAGAACTTGGTGCACGGTTTTGACCCCAAGGCAGGAGCAGCGTGCTAATTACGTGGGAGCGGCCGAGCTTTTTGAAACTGCCAACGCGGGATCCGAAGCTTTCACAATACGGATTCAGGCTTGAAATGTAATCATTCGTAGCTCAGTCACTGTGATTATCCGTTCACGCGGCCTGCAAAGCAGTGTGGGACAAGATGTTTTTCATTCATGCGGCTGCAGTAATTAAAACGGTTTATATGGGGGTCAGATTTTTAACAGATCACGAATTAGATCCCCACTAATGAGGTTCGGTCACACTGCAAATCTTCGCATTTAATATACGTGGAGAGAGGAGGGAAGGTTTCTTGAAAGCATTTATTGGAATCATGTTTATCGCACAAATTAGAATAGATTGTAACTAATAGAGGAGGAAGCAGGGGAAGCAGTTGGTTTTGGCGTTTTTTGTTTTTTTTTCTGCGGCGTGGCGTTGGTGGAGCCTCATTTCAAAAACGTTTTTAAATACCTATATTATTACGGTTTTCTCTCAACATAAAAAGTGCAGCCCTTCGCTCTGCTGTGAAGTAATCGCATTTCAAGGCGTATGTATGCTCTATCAATATTGCTTCATTTTTATGAGCGGTTACGATCGAACTTGTCCACTCCTGCGTGTCTGCGAAATGATAGTTCCCATTGACGGCCGTCGTATTGCGTCATGGAACGATTGCAGACAAAAATTACTATACTTAAAAAAAGAAATGTGATGCCAGAAATCGTCATCAGAAAGAAGAAAAAACAACTTTCCGGAGTCCGGTTTTCCGAGCAGCAATAAAGTGTGATAATGGACATTGAGAGTGAAACGAGCCCGAAAGAAATCAACCCCATTGTAACGTTCTTTCGAGTGCGGGGAGCTTTCATTACTTTCAAAGCTAAGAAAGTGAAGGATGACCCTGACCCCTTTCATGGGAAACGTTGCATTATCCCTGCAATTACACGCGCGATTCACCACAAATTAATAGTCTGCGTTGAAAAGACCCATCGCGAGACATAAATGATCTATGGCTCGATGCGTGCCAGGTCTCCATTCAGCACACGACAGGTAATAACTGTTCCCAGGCTCCACCCCTGGCCAATCTCGCGTAATCAAAGAGGTTGAGATCATGAGGTGCATTAAAATTGCCTGACGCCGCCGCGTGTGCGTCCCACGAATACAAATCGGGCAGTATTGGCGAGCAGCGTGTGCTACGAATGGTGCGGCAGACAATTAACTCCATCAATCATGAACATGCAATTAATCAAACTGGAGATCTCATTAGGCACTCCCAACTTTCTTTAGAGTTGCAGGGCGAGATCAAGATCAAGCATATGGTCACGTTTCTTCGAATATCACACCCAGGTATCGTATGCAGACTTGTACGTAACGCGTTACAAGTAATTGATTACTTGTAATCAATTACAGTTAAGTGTAATTTTGTAACGCTTCAATTACATTTGTCAAGCTGTAACGCTCGGAGTAATTCAATTACTTTTTTTCTGTAATCAATTACAAAATCAATTACACAATTACCAGTTACATTTTTCATTCCACAATTTTTTTTTCTCACAAAAATCAACATAGTCACTCAGCCATGGAGCAAAGATGATTGACATTTTCTTAACATCTAAAAAAAATAAAACTAGGATTAGTCGGCAAATCCTTTTTTCTTTTGCGCCACGCTCTTCTACAAGCGCGCCACCAGCCTTGGCTGGGGAGTTCCGGATCTCGTTGCAGATTGCTGATAAAGTCGACGGGAAGCGGGAACTCGCTATTGACTTTTTAGTGGGCTTTGTTCCTTAGGTCGACGCGTCAGCTACACGACAAGGTCCGGGTCTGAAAACAAAAAAGGGAACAATAACGAAACAAAATTGTGTACGCAATATTTTACTGTGTATTTGTGTATTCCTGTCATCGCAATAAGAAGTAACGTGAAAGTAACTTGAAAAGTAATCAATTACTTTGCAGTAATTGTTCAATTACTTCTGGGAGGCAGTAATCAGTAACGGTAATCGGTTACTTTTTTGACTGTAGTAATTGTAATTGTAATCAGTTACTTTTTTTCAGTAACGTGTACAAGTCTGATCGTATGTCGTATTTTCGAACGAGATTATTGGCAATGGGCCGTTTTCAAAAGTCGGCGCCAACACCTGTCCGCCATCGCTTGCTCAGATACTCTAAGCATGTATTGGACACGAGGTCTGCGTCACCGTTCGGCGTGAACGCGGATCCAATCATGCCCTTCCTGCCAAAGGATGGAGAGTTATGGCTATGCCCTTTGTAACGGGCGGTAGACTGCGCCACCTAGCGTAAGTCTAGAAAGACAAATTTATGATTCCTCGCGCCCTTCTAAGTAAAGTTTCACCCCCTAAATATCACCAAGCAGTGTGGGATATCACCATGATGATCTTTGGGGACCGGGCAAAAGAAACTAAAACATCATCCCCTGCCTTCCCCCCCCCTCCCTCCCTCCTCCCCCCTCCTCCTCCCCCCCCCCCCCCCCCCCCCCCCCGGTGAGGGAGCCGCCATATTTCCTTTGGTCAAACCTCGTCGGGGTTTCCTCGGCACCGGACACACTGGAAGACAGGGTTCAGACTTTGGCTCGGAGCAACACGGGAGGGAGACCCAATTTTCCTCTGTACCGCCGTCTCCCCAGCTGTGCTAATTAGTGGTGAATCATTCAATTTTTTCCGAGGTGATTTCCACCAATCTTCTAATCGCCTCTTTGCGACTGTAATCCTTTTCTCTTCCGTCCTTCCATCGTCGCCAGCAAAAACCAAATCTGTTACCCCTTCAGGGAGGGCAGTGCGAAGCCCCGTGCACTTCAAGACCAAGTGCTTTAACGTCTCGCTCTCATTACGGCAGGCGGCACGTGATGTGCCTGCCTCCTGAAATTTAGCCCTATACGTCCTTGTCCTCAAAACTCCCGTTCTCGCCTCAAACAGTAAAGTATTTCCCAGTCAATTATCAAACACATTTTTGCCAATGACGCTTGATGAACTTTCGAAAAGGCTTTATTCTGCGAGGTTGAGCGTGTATGTGACTAGATAACGAAACTATTACAAAGCATAGCTCAGGCCCTCTAGGCAACTGATGGCCGCTAAAAAAAAAAAACAGAAAAAAAACGTTTGGTTCTGAATTCAAATTTCCGGAACCTCTCCAAACCTAATCAATTTAATATTACATAAATCTTACCCAGCTTTGGGAGCTCCCCGTGAAATTATTATTTTGGACAGATAGGACAATACAGGGAGATAAAGCACAATACACCTTGGACAATAAAGACGACAATGTGGCGTTTGTATTGTCTCATATGTCCGTCCCAATATTTCGAATGAATAGAAACAATGTCGAGAAATATTAAGCGCCACGTCGATTTTTAGTTTAAAACAAAATTTGATGGGCTTATGAGTGCGAAGCGAGGTATGCATGTAATCTAGAAGTGTGTATGCGGAAGATGGAACGATGCTTTGACCGCAGTCACCCACATCAACTCACCGACACCTTACAGCCTATCAAAAGAAAAATATATTTCTTACTTATAATAAGAACAACAGCCGCGAGAGTTTTGTTTTTTAACTTTTTTTGCGTGCGGAATTTAGCCGTCGTACGACCTCCAAGACCCCTCCACGCCAATCGACAAGATTGGCAGGTGCGTATACCATACCCCGTAACC